GCTCTGGCTCTCTGTAAATAAAGCAAAGCCACTTCCTCGTCCGACATTAAACAGAGCCCACAGAGGAGGGAGGGAGGGGCGGGGAGACTCGCCGTGCAGCGCAGCTGTCCTGCGTCTGACCTCAAAGTGCACAAGCTTCAAACTTCAGCGTTGGCTGCGATTTTGACGCTGAAATCGCGTTCGGTGTGAACGCACCATAAGCTTTTTATCGATAAAATTAAATTAAATTTATTCCACATAAAACCCTTTTATAATATATAATTATTATTATTTAAGGAAAGACTGAGACGTCGTCAAATGATGTCCTGGATGTGACAGTTTAAACGGTCTTCATCAGTGACGTTATGACGGTGCACATAGCAGGAATATTTCACACATCTGAGAATATTTATTTCAGTTAAACGATGTCAAACCACATTCTGCACATATTATAACATCAGGGCTTCGCAGTAAATGAGTCCAGATGCTAAATTAAACCCTGTCTGTGCAGCTCATGCATGTCTTTTGTGAGTGAATCTCAGCTATTCCARCTCAGCTTGAAGCACATATGGCAAGAATACCGTAGTTTCTGCCATATTAACTGTAGAAAAGGCAAAGCTGACACTGGACCTGAAGCAATCTGTACCTTATTGTTGTTGTTGTTCTGTCTGGCAGCCATCTGCTCCCTCAGGCTCTTCAGACAGTACCGTACCTAAAAGCAAACGTGGTTTTTAAAGTGTTTCATAAGCACAAACAGAATAAAACGTTAACTCGTTGGAGCTCGGTTCTGACCGACACCGACCTCCTGAATCTGGGACACTTCATCGGTCAGCATCCTGAAACTCTGCTTCGCCTCCGGCTGAGCTTCAAGGTAAAACTGAAGGAAGAGCGAACGCAGTAAGAAACAAGGGACTCACGCAGACGTAATCATACAAAACTAACCAGGTTCACTTACCTTAATTACTTCCACTTCTTCTTCTGTGGAAGCGATGAGCTCAGCTGCTTGTTTCTGTGGAAGGACAACCGCTACGCTGCYCGACTGATCCTGATCCTTTATGGGAAGTCTGAGCGGTCTGTGCTCCTGAAATGAAACATGAGAAGATAAAAGGAACTGGAAGTGAAACGTTGAAAGAGGAGGACTGAGAGAAAAAAAAAAACAGACACCAGTGAAATGAGAGGAGAGGAGCTCAGAATGAAAGCGAAGGCGGAGCAGAGGGAGGGAGAAAGGACAGATTTAGTCACCAAATTTCCTGTMAATCAGTGAGGTTCAGTGTGGATGCCCCCACAGTCACACTGTAAAACCTGGCAACCAACAGTGAGGAGGCTTTTCTACTGAAATGTTATAAAAAAAATCCTCTGATTCTGACCACAAAAACAAAACAGTCCGGAGCTAAAAACACCAACACTGAAAAARCTCCTGATTAGTCATTCTCCTCGTGGCTTTGTCCCCTTGGCAACAAAAACAAAATGTTTTTGGTTTGTCACAATTATTTATAGTTCAACTAATACTTTGAATTAACACTGGGATCAAGACATTCCTAAAATATATCTGGCAAATAAACAGTCTTATTTACAGGAAATAACAACTTTAGTTTTTTTTTTTTCTTCTAAGAAATAAATCTGGCACAGACCTGACCCAGGACCAGACACAGACCTGACCCAGGACCAGACACAGACCTGACCCAGGACCAGACACAGACCTGACCCAGGACCAGACACAGACCTGACCCAGGACCAGACACAGACCTGACCCAGGACCAGACACAGACCTGACCCAGGACCAGACACAGACCTGACCCAGGACCAGACACAGACCTGACCCAGGACCAGACACAGACCTGACCCAGGACCAGACACAGACCTGACCCAGGACCAGACACAGACCTGACCCAGGACCAGATACAGACCTGACCCAGGACCAGACACAGACCGGACCCAGGACCTGACATTTTCTGACAAATAATCCAGTTTTTGTCAGAAAAGTACCTTTCTTTCAACACGAGGCATCGTTATGTTGTCATATTTTAAATTCAAAGCTTGAATTATTTGTCCCACAGTACAGTGATGCTGCTGGCGCTCTGTCGTTGTTACACTTAAAGCCATTTGCTGTACTTCCCTGTAAGTATTTACTGTGAAAATAACACCTGAGAGTCATGAGCACATTTGTTACATACCACAGTCTGCTGTTGTTGGCAACACTAACCTCAAAAGGCACACAGAGTATTYAATCAATTTTATTTAATTAATGAACTAAAACTAAATTATGATTTTTTTTCTCTACATGTTTTAACCCATGACGAACACCTTAAGTCAAATATAAATATTTAACAACTCTTTCTTGCCAGGGACCACAAACAAACAAAAATGCAGATTGCGTCATATTAGTGAAGAAGTGCAAACAGAAAGTAGGTCATCAAGTGACAACAGTTTGAGATAATTAACAGGAAACTCATTAAACTACACAGGATTAACGTTCGGACAGACGTACCACAGTTAACACCTGCTACAATCTAAAACATGTTGTAAATAAGAAAGTTTGCTTGTTATGAGAATGTTGAGTCAGCATTATGTTTATAGTTTGTTTCACATGTTTTCTGCTAATCATTTCGACCTTTTTGTGTTATTTTAAACTTTTTTATATAAAATAAGTTTGATTAGGAATAATGTGCTACAACTTTTGTTTTTGTAACTTATAACTTTATAAATCTTTTTACATTAAAAC